ATCTCTCTCCTTGCTGGCACCAGAAATTATGATGGGCTTTGATTCCAGCCACAATGGCCTTGTTTGCTCTTCCTCACACGTGGCCTTTCATTTATCATCTCCAAAGTTTTGTACAGGTTGTCTCGCCCATGCCTAGAATGCCCTCCCTCCTCAACTCAGCCTCAAAAAAATTTCTAGCTTCTTTCAAGGGTTTCAAGTGCACCTCTTACATCAGGCCTATACCTGGTCCTTCCCATTGTTAGTGGCTTCTCCTCACCTCTGAAATTACTATGTATTTCATTGGATCCACAGATGGAGAGTTGGAAGGATTCTTAGCTAGAGGACAACTAGTCCCAGGATCATTGGACCATATATTTGAAGCCAGAAGGTATCTTAGAGGTGGTTGATTCCAACCCTTTTGCTTTAAAAATGGGGAAACTGAGGCACACAGTGATTAAGTAATATGCCTTAGGACACAACTGTATCCTGATACAGTCAGGATCTGAACCTAGATCCTCTGACTCTAAGGCCTGTGCTCTTTGCGCCATGTGACATCTTATATTGACTTATTCTTGTACAGTTGTTTTTCCATCATTATTGTCATTGCTGGCATTTAGCATTTTACATATGTATCTCATTTGATACAACAATCCTGTGAGGTAGGTGCTATTATACCCCATCTGACCGTGAAGGAACCTGAGGCTGAGGACAATAAAGGGACTTACTTACGAAGGGTCACGCAGCAAGAAAGAAGCTGAGGCTGGATTTGAACACAGGTCTTCTTAGCTCCAAGATCCGCACTCTGCAACACCTCGCTGCCTAACAGAATGTAAGCCCTTTGAGGATTGCAACTCTTCTCTTTGACTTTGTATTCCCAGCATAGTGCCTTGAACACAGTAGTAAATAAGTGTTTGTTGAATGAATGAATATATGATCTCTTTCCCTTTCCAGGACTAGTCACACAGAACCCAGGGGCTTTGCAGCTTCTTCCTTTACTTTCAGAATAAGAAAAGAAACTAGGGATTTGCTAATAAGCCAAGCAAAGCAACACACACACACCACACACACACACACACACACACACACACACACACAATCACATTTCTGAGCATGCTAGATTTTATTTTAAGAAAGAAATGAAAGAAAGGCATAGAATAAAATCCTGCAAAATGAACTGCTCTGCTCACCGGCTTCCGATCATTAACAGGCACCAATATGGGGACTAATTAGCAGCTAGAAGAGGTGGGAGGGGAAAGAGGACACTTCAGAACATGTCCCAAGAATTAATGCTGAACAGTCATCCTTGCAATTTGATGAACAAAAACAAATGAAAAATTTCAAAGTAGATCTCGATGGCCACAGTGTGTTTATATTAATTAAAAAGAAAACCTATATGGTATATTAGAAATAGTGCTGGGCTTGACAACAGAAGAACTGGGTTTCAATCCTGGCTCTGCTACTTATTTCCTGTATATCCTATTTAACCCTTATGAGCCTCAGTTTCCTCCTCTATAAAATGAGAAGGACTAGATAATCTCTAAAATTCCTTATACCTTTAAACCCTATGAGTCCTACCACAAGTAAGAAAGTTTATTTCTGCCAACAATCCTATTATCATTATTATTATGCTTAATAATGATAATATCTTGACATCTTGAATTTTATTTAGCCCTTTATATTTCCCTAAATACTTTCATTTCCATAAGCTTATTTAATCATCACAAAAGCACAGTGACATGGGGAAGGCAGATATTTTTATCTCTATTTTATGGATGAGGGAAAAAAGTACTAAAAGGTTATAAAATTTGCTCACAGTGCTAGTGAGCAGAATTAGTATTATCAGAATTAGTACTATAACTCAGATCTCCTAATCATTAGTCCAGTGGCCTTTGTCAACAACGACCACTTCAAATCATGTAAGAAAAATGACTAACTGTTCACAGCCTTTGATTCTCCTATCCCACTACTGGACATACATTCCTCCAAGAAGGTCAAAGGCAGAAAGGTCCCATTTATACTACAATACCCATAGCAGTATTTATTATGACCACAAAATATCAGAACCAAAGTGGACGCTTGTCAACTGAGGACCAGCTGAATAAACTGTGGCATACAAATGTCATGGAATAGCCTTTTACCATATGAAATGACAAGCGTGTAGAATCTAGAGGAACTTGAGATGACTTATATGACCTGATGCAGGGTGAAATAAGCAGGCAGGAAAAGGATATACACAATGATTATAATAATGTAGATGAAAAGAATCCTAAAATGAAGCTGAATGGTAAATAAATGTAATTCCTGGTGAATGAAGAGAGGGTAAGGGGGTAGGGGGTAGGGTCAATGAACAACAGAATGCTATTGATATACAGTAAGTGCTTAATAAATGCTAGTTGATATTATCAGATACAGTCACTGTGTAACCTTTCATTTATTTATTGGTAAAAGGGAGGGCTCATGGGGAAGAGGAAGAGGGCAGGTTTATTCAGAAAGGACACTGCTACAAAAACAAAACTCCAAAATAAAACTTAATTCTTAAAATGGTCATTTCAATCCCATAAATTACTTAATTATCAGTTTATAAAGAATAACAGACATGGTTGTTGTTGGGTCATTTCAGTCGTGTCTGACTCTCAGTGAACCCATTTGGGATTTTCTTGACAAAGGTCCTGTAGTGGTTTGCCATTTCTTTCTCCAGCTCATTTGAGAGATGAGGAAACTGAGGCAAGCAGAGTTAAAAGACTTACCCAGAGTTACACAGCTAGTAAATGTTTGTTTGAACTCAGGTCCTTCTGACACTAGGGGCAGTGATCTACCTCCTGCACCACCCAGCTGTCCAATAGACATGGACCTGGGAGGTATTATGGACCAATGAACCCCCTCATTTTACAGGTGAAGAGCTGAGACCCAGAAAATGTAATGACCACACAGAGAGGACAGTGACAGGGCCAGCATTCAAATGAGAGGTCTCCACCTCCAAACTTGGGGCTTTTCCTACTGTACTGAGACAGAACACGGTCCTTCCTGATAAGAGACCCAGTCTCGAACAACACTCAGTACAAATATATGTACCACCCACCCATCCAGTTCCTCAGATGAGATGACAGACATGAACACACCTTTGAAAGTTTAAAAGCATTTCCATGTGTAAAGTATTATCTTTATTAAAAGCATTGCCAGATGTCCCTGCCTATACTACTCACCCCAGGAGCAAAGGTAGTGAAATGGAAAGGGGACGATAAATTGACTGGACGAGGCAACTGCTGACCGTAACTGACCCCACGGCATGAAGCCATTGAGAATGAAAGCTGGCTCCTCTGTTTTAAGAATATTTTCCTTTCAATTTCATCTCAATGCAAGGCAGACAGTTGCTCTGATAATCTGAATAATGTAAAGTCCCCTGAATTGCTCTTAATGCATTCAAACTAGGCTCCTGTTAGTGAAGCCTAAACAGATTCTCCTCTTCATGGCCAAAGCAGAAAGAATAATGAGATGGTGACACTTTCTATGACTCTCTATGGTTAGGTTTGCAGATTGAACAATGCCATTGCTATTTCCTTAGCCACAGGCGTGGCCTGTGGTAGTCTGCTGCCAGTAGGCCTGGTCTGTCTGGAAGTAAAACTGAGATAAGCACAAATTGAGGAAGAGTTAGAGAATTGGGGGGAGGCGGATAGAGAGGGGAGGGAGAAGGAAGAGAGAAAGACTGAGGAGAGACAGAGAAGGGGGAATAGAGAGGGGAGAGAAGGAAGGGAGGAGAGAGAGGGAGGGGGAGGGAGAGAGGGAGAGAAGAAGAAGAAGAGGAGGAGGAGGAGAAGGAGGAGGAGAGATAGGAGGAAGGGTGGAGGGGAGAGAGAAAGAGAGAAGAAAAAGAAGAAGAAAAAGAGGGAAGAGGAGGAGGAGAGAGATGGGAGGAGGCAGAGAAACAAAGAAGAAGAGGGGGGAGGAGAGAGATGAGAGGAGGAGGAGGGGGGGGGGGGAGGGGAGGGAGAGAGAGGAGAGAGAGAGAGAGAGAGAGAGAGAGAGAGAGAGAGAGAGATCCCCTTTCCTCAAACTCTTCCTGGCTGAACAGGCTCATGGCAACAGCAACCTTCACAACTGATGTCTCAAAGGTTTGGAGGAAAATATTTTAAAGCAGAAATCAGACAAGGTTTTGGAACATAAACTAATTTTACCATGAGGAGAAAACCATTTAAGCTGCACTTGAAATTCACTGACCAACCAACTAATTAATATTTACTAAGCATGAATTTTATGTTCAGTATCTTAAGGAACAAAAGAAGAGGAAACACTTGCTCCTTTTCAAAGTAACATCACTGTCTGTGGTCATGACATGTATTATTCATGATTGTCATTAAATCCAAAGATATAATGAGGGCCTGCATTGTGTAGTAGCCCTGGGCTTTAAATGCTGGTCCTGACACTTAAAAAAAAAATCATGTCTCTGTGTCTCAATTTCCCCATCCTTAAAATGGGGATAATACTTGCATTACCTATCTTATTGGCACGTTTCAAGGAAATCACTTTTTAAAGTTTAAAGCATTATGTCATTGCAGCTTATTCTAATTAAGATGCATGAGGCACTGTGCTAGGTAGAAAAGATGACATAGTTCTTTCCTGCTGGGTGGATGATATGAATTTAAGGAAAGGGTACTATACAAGGAAGTAGACTGCTTTTCTTTATTTACTTCTGGCTTACTCATCAGGAGTCATCTGTTTCTGGACTCTTCTAGTACAAAGCTCTTATCTACTAACAAAACTGACATCTAGATAGTGCTTTAAAATTGTAAAGCATTTTACATTCATGATGTCATTTAAGCCTCACAATAAACCTGTCGGGTATTATCATCACCCCCATTTTAAGGATGAGGAAACTAAAGTTGTACAAGGTTGTGTTTCACCCATGGTCATACAGATAGTAACTATCAGAGAAAGGGTGAATTTGAACTCAGAGCTTCCAAACTCCAAGCCTTGAACTGGGAAGTATCCAGGGAAGCGTTCCATTACTGCCCCACACAACATACCTTGGATTGAGTTTTGCATAGGGGACAGTCACAATCAAAGCAGTACTGTTCTTTCAGCTGTTTCTGCCTCTCTGCACTGGGCATCAGCACATCAAGGTAGCAGATGGTAAGCTGCGTGGAAGCAAAAGGGAAAAAGAAAAGAGATGGTAAGGCTGGATTTTCCATGGTCTGCTAAGTAACACATTCCATAGGCCACATGGAACATGAAGTTGGGGCATCTATGAACAAGGGGGTGAAGGGAAAGGGATTTTTCTGGTGATCTTTGAAAAGACGGGTGAGGGGCTTGGGAAAATGGCTCACTTAGTTTATTCTGACCACCTATTTTCCTAATAAGGCTCCTGGCTTTGAGGCTGTCCCCTCTACAGACCATCATCCACACAGCTCCCCAAACTGTCTGCCTAAAGCAAAAGGCTGACCATTTGACCTTCTGGCCCAGGAAATTTCACGAGTGCCTTATTGTCTCTAGGATGAAATAAAACCCCTCTAACTTGGCACTTAAAAAGCCTTTCACAGTCTGGCTTCAGCCTACTTTTCCAAGCTCTTTTCATATTAATCCTCTTCATGCACTCCATGCTCTAGCCAAATTAATCTATTTGCTATTCCCAGAACTTTGCACTGGATACGTGTGTGTATATGTGCATGTTTGAATACGTGCAGGTACACGTGTGTGTATATGTACACTATATAATATGATACATATATCTATGTATACTTGTATATGTGCATCTGTTTGTATATCACATACTTATGCAGATGTACACATTCAGGTATGTGTATATGTGTACAAATGTACATATATGGGTATGTGTGCATGTAAATGTACATATGTGTATACACACATACAGCAGAAGAGTGTCATTGTTATTATTGTTATTATTTTGGAAGTCTTATTGAGTGTTGTGTTTTTTTAATCTGTATCTGCTTGTTTTTAGGCTTAAAATCATAAGCTCACAGATTTAGACCCAGAAGAACCTTCAGGGGCCATCTAGTGCAGAGGTGTCAAAATAGATACATACACACAAATATACCTTGTATATATTCCTGTTCTTGAAATATAGCCAGCTCCCAGCATTTTCTCTGGCTGTTCCCTATGCCTGGAACTCTCTCCTTAATCCACTCTTGACTACTGAGCCTGCCCTGGCTTCCTTTAAGTCCCAACTAAAATTCCACTTTCTATAGGAAGTCTTCCCTAACTCCTCTTCATTCCAGTGCCTTCCCTCTGTTTTTTATCTCCTACTTATCCTATATATAGCTCATTTTGTATATGTTTGTTTTTAATGTTGTCTCTCCCATTAGATTGTAAACTCCTTAATGGCAGCAATCATCTTTTGCCTTTTTTTGTATTCCCAGTACTTAGCACAGTGTCTGATACATAGCAGGTGCTTAATAAATGTTTATTGATTTTCACTCCTACCTATTAAAACCCTTGGCTTCCTTTAAGCCTTAGTCCATGTGCCACCTCCTATGGGGGGTTCTTAACCTGGGGTCCATAAAACCTCAACAGATTTGTTGATAAATTTCAGGAAGCATGTGATTTTGGATGAGAAAATTATGCATTTATTTTCAGTAAGTTGTATCTGAAATTAAACATTTCCTTCAATGACAAAAAAAACATTATTGTGAAAAAGGATCCGTAGATTTCACCAGATTGCTAAATGGGTCCACAACACACAAAAAAAACCCCAACTCAGGTCCTCTGAGAAGCCTGACCTCATGCCCCTAGTTCTTAAGGCTCTCTCCCAAGGGCAGCATCACTTACTGCTTTCTCTTTGCATCCCTAAGACCTAGCATGATGCCTTGCATATAGTAAGTGCTTAATAAATGCTTGTAGCAATTTGAATGAAGTGGGGATGTTAGTGGTGGGAATAAGAATTTATATAGCACCTACTGTAAGCCAGACATTATACTAAGCACTTTTACCAATATTATTTCATTTGCTCCTCACATCAACCCTGTAATTATCCCAACTGCACAATTGAGGAAACTGAGTCAAAGTGCTAGGTGACTTGCCCAAGGTCACACAGACAGTAAATGTCTGAGCCTGGTTTTGAACTCAGGTCTCTCTGACTCCAGGTCCAGCACCCTGACTCAGGGAAGGCATAGGAAGAAAGATGGTTTCTGTGCCATTTTAGGACTCTTGATTTCTGTCATTGCATCCCCAGTGCCTACCACAGCACCTTTCATATAAGTAGGTGCTTAATAAATTCCTGTTGAATTCAACTCCATTTCAATAAGAAAAACAAAGAATCAGGAAGGCTTAGCCACTGGCACAGTCCTTTTAGGCAAGCCCATTAAGAGGTCACGGGATGGTTCCATGCCTTACTAAATGGCACCCTGCCTCACTTACTTCATTCCATCTTAAGCCCTAAATAAAAAGTGTGGCTCAAACATAGAAGGAATAATTTCCTGACAAAGATAGCTAAACATGGGTAAAGTTGTCTTTTTTTCTCTTGTGCTCCTTAAAATCCAGTGGATACCCATCTGTCTAAAATGGTATACTGACTGGAGACATACACTATGCCAGGAGTGGGGAACCTTCGGCCTTCAGGCCACCTGTGGCCTCCTAGACCTTTAAGTGTAGCCTTTTGACTCTCAAGGCCACACTTAAGGATCTAGGCAGCCATGGGTGGCCTGAAGGCCCAAGTTCCCCACCCCTGCACCATGTTCTGGTCAGTGGGGCTCTAGCCTTTAGGCCCATTTTGCAGCTACCAATCCAATGCTACTGTCACAGAAAATCGGTCAAGCCAACACCACCTATGAAGTGCTTGGAGTTAATCCACCAAAGCCATCTTTGCTTGTAAAACAACTCATAAGTAACTGCTCTCTTGCTAACAATAACAACAACGACAACAAAAAAAAAACAGTCCACCAGTGCTCTTACAAAGAAGTCAGCTGGTAGCAGGAGATGAAGTTTTTTCTTTCAACCACAGAACATTAAATGGATTGGGAAAGGTCTTGGGTGGTTCCCCCATAAATACCTATAGCTTCCAATCAACATGCTCCCATTTTGAATATGTGCCCATTCTCTGTGGAATCTCATCGGCAACAACATTAAAGTCCAAATGCAAAGATTTTCCCATTTGGAGAGGGGCTGGTATTTGGGTCATCGAGGGGCTAATGAATGGGTGGTTACAATGGGAACTGGCCTACCTGAACTAGCTCCTAAAGCTGCCTGGACAGACCAGGCCACTTCTTAAATCACTCAGGATTGTGGCTTCTCTAGGGCAACTAAAGGGAAATACCCAACATTTGGCTCTTTGGCTGAATGTTCTAAAGTCATATTTAATTTTAATGCTGAAAAACACAACCAAGTTTATGTTAATCATTTAATCAGCAACACATAAAAACCTTTATTAAAGACTCATTCGCCTGCTGATTTAATTCGGAATCTGTTCATTGAGTGCAAGGCTCATTTAGCTGGTACATATTCATGGAGCACAGCCATCGATCAGCTGTGGCTTTAATAGCATAAAATAAAATAAAATATTATTAATACGTGAATGCAGCTGACCACTTTGTCAATTTACTACAGCTCCTATAGAGAATGAAGTAAATAATTTCCAGCAGAAGAGTATTATTATTATCTTGGAAGCTTTATTGAGTGTATAAGGGAGCTAGATTTAAAAAAAAAAACATTTTTGCTTGTTTTTAAGGCTTAAAAAAATGGGACAGCTAGGTGATGGGGGCAGCTGGGTGGCACAGTAGATAGAGTACTGAGCCTGCAGTCAGGAAGACTTATCTTCCTAAGCTCAAATCTCAGACACTTACTAGCTATGTGACCCTAGAAAAGTCACTTAGCCCTGTTTGCTTCAGTTTCCTCATCTGTAAAATGAGCTGGAGAAATGGCAAACCACTCCAGTATCTTTGCCAAGAAAATCCCAAATGGAGTCACAGAGAATCGGACAAGCCTGATATGACTGAACAACAATAAGAAGGTTTAAAATCATAGGCTCACAGATTTGGAGCTGGAAGAAGCCTCAGAAACCATCTAGTCCAGCAGTGTCCGACTTTAAGCCCCTGGCCAGCAAAAGCCCACTGTGGACAGAACCAGATTAAAATGTCATCAGGAAATGTTTTACAAAATAAAATTTTAAAATGCAATATACCACAGATAATGTCAATTTGTGATTTTCTAATGCAGCTGGCAGAGATCATTTCTGAGTTTAACACTGCTGATCCAAACCAATTATTTTACAGATAAGAAAACTGAGGACCAAAGAGATTAAGTCCTTTGTCCAAAGTCAAGAAGGTAAATGCCAGAATCAGAAAGTAAATCCAGGGTTTCTATGCCAAATTCAGCTTTCTTTCTTCGGTAGCATACCGATAAATCTTGACTATGTATGTTGCTTGGAAATCCGAACGCTAAGAGATTTTGCTTCACGTAAAAAACCAGTTTTCCATGATCTGTAACAGTAGATAGAGAGATGCAATTAACATAAAACCTAGTCAGTATCACTTGAACTAAACCAGGGGTGGGGAACCTTCGACCTCAAGGCCACATGTGGCCCCCTAGGTCCTCAAGTGTGGCCCTTTGACTGAATCCAAACTTCACAGAACAAATCTCCTTAATAAAAGGATTTGTTCTGTAAAACTTGGACTCAGTCAAAAGGCCACACCCAAGGACCTAGAAGGCCACACGTGGCCTCAAGACCAAAGGTTCCCCACCCCAGACTGAACTGACACAATTCAAATTTCCTTCAAGGTATACCGACCTTAAATGGAAAACTAATTTTTTAACTATCCCATTGACAGCTAGTAGTAATACTTTTCTTAAGACCACAGGTATGAAGCATGAAGGGACCTCAAAGCTCTCTAGTACAAACCTCTCATTTTAAAGATTAGGAAACTGAAGCCTAGAGAGGCTAAGTAATATGCCCAAAGTCACACAGCCATCAAAGGTGAGATTTGAACCCAGGTTCTTTGACTCCAAAGCTCTGTACTATGCTGCCTCACCTTTTTTGTTTTAAATTTTTTTTTTAGGCAATTGGGGTTAAGTGACTTGTCCAGGGTCACACAACCAGTATGTGTCAAGTGTTTGGTCTGAGGCCACATTTGAACTCAGGTCCTCCTGACTTCAGGGCCAGTGCTCTATTCACTGCACCACCTCACTGCCCCTGCCTCACCTTCTTTGACTCTTTTATGTCTAATCACTTTCGAAGGAGTCTGAATAAGCTCTGGTGAGCAGAAGGGCTCTCTTCATTAAAAGGAAAAAACAACCAAAAACCAAGGACTGTAGTTTTAAAACTTGTATTTGAGAAATCATTATGTTGACTGCTTGCATGTAGGGCTCATTTCCACTGTCTAATTCAGATCTATGGCCTGCTGGCCAATAGCATTATTTATAACTGCAAGAGCCTTTGCTAGGCATGAATTCCTATGAGTACAGCCTGGATTGAGCAGACTTCTCCAGTCCAAGTTTTATAAGACCGCCTGATCATAAAAGGTATTTCATTGCTGAACACATCCCTGAAGGTGGCAACTATTATCTTTCCGTTAAGTATGCTGTGATTTTTAACAACAAAAAAAAAGCACTTTCTTCTCTGTAGGGACCCAGATGGAAGCAAAGAAGAAATGTCAAAGCTGAAACAACAAAACCTAGGAAATTCATTATTGAAAATTAAAACCCTCAATAAGGAGAGGTGAGTGTTATAATTGGTAATATTGGGAAGAGAAATGTGTTTCTGGAGCTCAGTATGAAAGATGGCCTTAGGAAGAGAGTTTACAAAGCTATGGAACTTCCACAGCTCACCCCCATTACTATTTCTCTCTTCCTGTTATTAGATGTAATTATGCTCTCCAATCTGGGACATATTAGGAGTTCTGTTTCACTCCCTGAACTGGCATTTGAAGCTCTCCACTTCTACCTTCAAAATGGTCTCGCTTCCTCCACGGACCTTTTCCACAGTCTTATTATTCATACGTGAGGGTGTTTGGTTGTGGTTGCCTGAAAAACTTCTGGTTTGAAAATACTACCTCCTCATGTCTGGTGCTACCACCCTACCCTTCCCTTCTCTGAACCCCAACCCCGACCCCTCCAATATCTGGATTCTGCCAGAAATTTCCATCCCTCATGCAACCTTGCTAATTAGTATTTCTCTCTCCTGTTAGAGGTAGGGAAACCAATCAGATAGAGATGAGTAAGACTCTAGTCTTCCCTATAAAACACTGAGGCCTCTTCTGCATTGTTGTACCACCCTTTATCTGTTGTGTAAAATAACCTAGATGTCTCACACATAAGAGCAGAAGGAGGGATATAACCTGGATATCAAGGCAGGTGAGTACCTTTCACCTAGACCCTGAGTATTTATTTAATCCCCTACAGCCATCTGATTCTATCATTATTTTTTGCTCATCGGTTCACAGATTTTGAGCTGGCAGAGACTTCAGGGGACATCTAATCCAATGCCCTCATTTTAGAGATGAGGGAAGAGAAACCTTGAGAGAATAAGCGATTTACCCAGGGTCACATGGATAAGTGTCAGAGGTGTGATGTGAACCCAGGTCATTGCTTTTTCCTCAGTATTAAGACAAAGATCCAGCTGCACAATGGCTGCCTCTTCCTCTTCTTGTTCACAATGTAACTATAATAAAAAGCCTCCCTCCCCTTTTTTTTTACCTTTTGCTTCTTTTGTGGAAATCTCCAACTCTCAAAAAAGTATCTGAAATGGGCTGGGGCAGTGATGATTCCATAAGTATTCTGAGATCCCACTTTGTACCCCTTTTGTCCTTAGCAAGCTATATACCAGCTAGAGAATCTGAGAGCTAGAATAGAATTTCAGAGCTAGAAGAGACCACAGAAGCCGTCTATTTCAGCCTCTGCTGAATGCAAGGATATTACTGTGCCTCTGCTTTGACACTTCCAATGAATCACTGTCATTATTTGAGCCAATAGTAAGTGTTCTTCTGCCCTCTGGGGGAGCTGGAAAGGAGTGAAGGGGCCAAAACAGAGGTTAATAGCAGAGTAGGAAGCAGAATTCCCAGTGATAATCTATAAAGTGTAAAATAATTAGTAATTATTTTTCAATTTTTAAAATTTTTGTCCAAAGAGGCAGCAGGCAAATATTGAGCACAAATGGGCCAATCCCTCTTAATTTCAGTGCTTCCTCTCTGTTAATTATTTCCTATTTGTCCTGAATATTGCTTGTTTTGTATATATCTGTCTACATATTATCTCCCTCATTAGATCCTAAGGACCTTGAAGGTAGGGACTTCCTTTTGCCTCCTTTTGTATTCCCAGAGTTTAGCCCAGTGCCTGGCACATGGTAGGTGATTAATAAATGCTTAATGACTGACTAACCTCAGAGACCATCTTGTCCAATCTTTTTACTTTGCAGATGAGGAAAATCAAGGTCATACAGGTAGTAAGAAACTGAAGTGGGCTTGGGACCCAGGAGCTCTAAATGAAATAATTCACATGAAGAGGACCTAGGTTAAGATCCATCTCTTACACAGACATGACTGTGGTAACCCTGAGCAAGTGATTTTAAGATCTCTTTCCCATGACAACTCTCTGAGTTTCCAAGCTGCAGAACAGTTTCAGGTGGGTGGAGTTTCTTCACCCAGAATTCATTGCACTAATAAAAGCCCTTCCTTAAACCCTCCAAATTTAAATCAACATTGGAGCAATAAAAGAAGAAATTAGTCCCTTTCCCCTGGTGCCTAACAGTGCATTTCTGTAGTTCTTCATCATATTTTTAAATTCAGGGACACATTTTTTTTTTTGTGGGGAACTCTGTCTGGAAAATGTCCCACAAGGATATAATAAGGTCTTTTAAAATGAATGAAAAGCAAATGAGAAGAGGAATCCAGGACTAGGCATGGCTAGGAGAGGGAAGGGAGGGGACCAGTTGGAGTATAAGGAAGTAAGAAACCTTGCTTTTTATTTGTGCTTGAATGCTTTAGTTATTTCCATTAGTTACCCTGGTTCCTTCAACTGCATGGGGCAAAAGGGAGTGGTTGACTTGATTTAATCTGGTTCTCATTTTGCTTAAGGGGAAAAAAAGAAAAAAAAAACCCAACCCAACCTTTGACCAAAAAACCCTCATGTGCCTGAGAATGGCGGCAGAGGGGGTTCTTCCTGTTAAGTGTCCTCAAATTATATACAAGAAAATCATCTTCAGTCTTCTTTGGAGAGATCATGGTTGCAGCTTAATTAGTACACTTGTTCTAAACATAAGAAACTCAGCATATGTCTTTGTAAAGGGAAAAAAAAACACAACTCACTTGCTCAAAAGGAAACTAGCTTGGGGTCAGAAATATTGTAGCCAAATCCCTTGCTTACACAAAATATGGTATCTGAGGGTTTGAGTTTTATTGCCCGTGTGCTGTATAAATAAACAAAAGCTTATGGCATTTGGGTTTCGTGCAATAAATAACCCACTGAAATAAAGGGAAAGGAGGGAGAATACCAGGTTCTGGGAAAGTCCCCACCCCCACAAGAAACAAAATGGGCCCTGAATTCTACACAGGGAACAGTTCATGGGGCACTAGCCTCTAGAAAGTCCCTCTCTGTGGGGGGTTCTCCTGGTAACCAAAGGGGCAAAGGTAGTTATCTTCCTTGGACATCAGAAAACTGGGGGTAAGGATGACCTTCTGGTCAGAAAACTGCAACTTCTCCCTTCCCTGATTCTCTCCGCCTCTTTCCCTAGACTTTGCACCTTTGTCTAGGGAATCAGCATCCAGAATTCTTCCTATAAGATAGAAATACGCAGAACAAGGAGAAATCTTTGCCTTTAGTTAAAAATGAGATCAATGACTTGGAGAGGAGATTCTGGGGATCCCCTTTGAGCATTTTAGTATTTTCACCGCAGAAAGGTTTACTGCCCTAAATGCTGTGCTGACTATTCAGACATATTATTGCTCATTTTATTTCAGGGATCCTTTCATTCATTCAATGAGCACTCATTAAGTACCTACTGTGTGCCCAGCACTGGAAAACAGTTCCTGCCTTGAAGGAATTTATATTCTATTTGGGGGGGGGTGTTAAATGATACATGTAAAGGTAAATACAAGACAGAAAAAGTGGATACACAGGGGTGATTTTGCAAAAGTGCTTTTTTCATATATATACATAAGTTTTTCATCAGGGCAAAGAGCAAAAATCCTGATAGAATTTGTCTCCAGAGGAAAAACTGAGAATAAAAGGTTTTTAGATCAATGATTTGGTTAATAATAGTCTTTTCCTTAATAAGTAGACAATGGTACATCCTTTAAGAGATTAGTGGGCAGAAGCAGAGAAGGCATCTTTGATGAACATGAGCTGGGATGGCAGAATATGAGTACATTCATTACCTCTTCTCCCGGCTTGATGTTTCGGACCGCACGAAGGAAGAGGCTGGGTCCCTCAAACACAATCACACAGTTTGGGTCACAGCTGTGGTTCAGCAAAGACATGCTAGATGAGGGGAAAATAGTTTTTTAAAAAATACAATCAGATAATGTTGGGGCTAATAGTGATCTTACATATGGTCTAGTCTAAGGCTCTAATTGTACAAATAATGAAACAGCCTGCTTAATGTAGTGCAGCTAGTAACGGGAGGTAGAAGGGCAGCTAGGTGGAACAATGGATAGAGGTCTGCGCTTGAAGTGAGGAAGACCTGAGTTCAAAAACCGGTACCAGACACCAGTTGTATGATGCCGGACAAATTGTTTGACCCTGTTTGCCTCAGTCTCCTCATCTGTAAAATGAGCTGGAGAAGGAAATGGCAAACCACCCCAGTATCTTGGCCAAGAAAACCCCAGATGGTATCCCGAAGACCCAGACATGACTAATCAACAAAATAACAAAAAGTGGGAGACATGGGGCCCAAACTTAGGTTTCCTAATTCTATCCCAATACAAATATGCATATTTAGCATGCAAACAAAATAAATACAGACACACATGGTAATTATTTTTTTTTTGGAGGGGGAGGTCCCAGCAGCTGCCAGAGGGGAATCAAAAGGTTTCATTGTAGAAGGTGGAACATGAGCTGAGGTTTAATGGAAATTAACAATTCTAAGCAATGGAGATGAAGAAGGCTTGCATTGGAGTTATCATAATTATTTATGACATGAAGGGGGTCAGCTCAACCTCCAGTGTTTCTTAGAGCTCAAAAATTCAGGGATTCCAGAATACATTTCTGATGACACACAAGTGAAGGGATTATGGAGCTGCTAAGGGGACACATGTTCTTCTAGTACAGTGGTTCTTAACCCGGAGTCTATGAACTTTTTTTTTTTAATATCATTCTAACTGTATTTCAACATAATTGGCTTCCTTCTTAATCCTATGTGTTTTATTTTATGTACTTTAAACATTATTCTGTTCTGAGAAGGGGTCTGAAGCCTTTGACATCCGATGAAGTGCTTAACACAGTGCCTGGTCCATTATAGGCACTTCACTGAGTCCAAAGGGCCCGTGACACCAGAAAGTATAAAAAGAGAACCCCAGATTTAGTAGAAAAGAAGGAAACGTCATTAGGCAGTGGTGTTTTTTGGAGGAGGGAAATCAGGTAATCAGATGGGAAGTCTGGGTACATGTTTCTGTAGGGAAGGAATTAGTGGAACTTTCACCAAGGATGAGCTCAAAGGCCATTTAAGTATCCTTGAGGTACCTGTTTTTAATGAGAGAACACAGGATATAAAATACTCTGCAGCAAGGGTGCTGAGGGCCACACTAGAGGACCTACAGGGCCACATGTGGCCTTAAGGCCACAAGTTCTCCAGCCCTGCTCTGGACTTTTCCCCTTCCCTTCTCTGTGACCACTCAAGAAGGTAGGGATCTAAGTAGAATGTAAATTCCTTGAGGTCAGAGATTGATTTGGCTTTGGCTTTGTTTTGCTTTTGTCATTACCTGGGAACAGTAGGCAATTAATGAATACTTATTATTGAATAGGAAAGGCACAACAAAATTTACATAGTTTTTGTTGAGGCCTACTTTAACATTATCTTCAGCTCTCACCTCTTTATCCTAATCATAAAAGGCCAAATTCTCTCAGACAGCAAGAACTCAATGGATTCCCAACTCCATGTGATTACTGTACCCACAATGAAAGGTCATAAGAGCATTTTCTAAGCTCAAAGTTTTCCAATTTCTGGTAATTTAGCCATTAAGTTTCTTACTAGGCTCTTGTACTTATCACTTCAGTAGCCTTGCTGGCTATCTCTGTGAGGGGGAAAAGGAAGGAAGAAAATTTAAAAAAAAAAAAAAGAGAAAGAGAAAAAAAGGGGGGAAGAGGGAAAAAGGGAGGGAGGGAGAAAGGAAGGGAGAAAGAAACGGAAAGAGAGAAAAAGAAAGACAAAGAAAGAAAGAAAGCATTTTCTGTCAGTAAATGAAATACCGTCCACAGTACCTAGGATACAGGCCAACACCAACTTCCTGCATCTCTCCATTACTGATGGTGAAACCGTTACAGATCACCTGTAAAAACAAGAGGGAGAAATCAGGGTTAACAGAAAGACATTTTGGAAACTTCATATCCAAGAAAAATAACATTTCAAAATAAAACGCAGGGGGTGTTTTTGAAAACTAGATTGGTGATAAGTCCAAGACTAGCACTGACACTTGTTAATTTTTAAGTGATCAAATCAGGGAAGTGCTCTACTGGAAAATTGCAGGCTATTACATGCAGAAATATTAGCATTTTCCAAAAAAGGTACGGGGCATTAAAAAAAGGCATATCTCTATGTTCATGTGTAGAAGAAAACAGTCACACAGAATCGACCAAAAAAAATAGCTAGCATTTACATAGTATTGCACCTATTATGTACCCATCACTGTGAAAAGTGCCTTACAATTATTAGCTCATTTGAGCCTCACAACAACTCTGGGAGACAGGTGCTGTTATTATCTTCATTTTACTAATGAGGAAACTGAGGCAGAGGTTAAGTAACTTGCCCAGGGTTACATTGCTAGTAAGTAACTGAGACTGAATTTGAACTCAGGTCTTCCTAACTCTAGGACTGGCCCTATCCATTGTGCAACCAAGCTGCCTCTAGGCTGCAAAAAAACACAGATGATTAACCAGGTGGTAGATTCTCATGACTTACAAGATTACTGAGAATGTGTGTATCACCCTGCTTAAGTTACAAGGTGGAGAGATAGCTAGGTGGTATGATGGATAAGCCTCGAGGCTGGAAGACCTGAGTTCAAATGCAACCTCAGACACTTCCTAGCTGTGTCACCTTAGGCAAGTCACTTCATCTCTACCTCAGTTTCCCCAACTGCAAAATGAGGATGATAATAATAGTATCTACCTCACAAGACTGTTTTAAGGGTCATATGAGATAATACTTAGAATGTTCTTCATTCAGTATGTGGTGCTATTATGACTTTTTTCTTTTCTTTCTTTTTTTTTTAGATTCTATGTAACCATTTTTTTTCTACACAAAAACACAGAAATTTCCTTAATGCCCCACACTTTTTTTGTGAGATGCTAATATTTCTGCATGTTAATAGCCTGAAGGTGTAATATAAGAGGGGATTATACCCTCCCCCTACGTGTTGGGAGGGAGGATGTTTGCATGGTTTTTCTTGCTATAACTTTGAAATAAATATTTCTTGTAAATGCTAATCTGACTGTTAAGTGCTTAAATGAAACTGGGGTACATGTGACCCCTAAAATTGGGGAACACAATTGGTGGGAGCTTGAGCCAATGGTAGAGAATTGGGATGCTTCCAAATCCTCTTGAAGGTACCAGAGAATTCTAAGAGAGGAATGAAATACCTGATCTTCAGGCAGTGGGGGGTCAGGGTAGTCACTGTTACATGTAAGACCACCTTGGGATGAAAGGTGGTTTTCACCTTTTACCCTTCACTTTTGCAGGGACACCTGGGGAGATTTTCTACCTGAGACTTTAAGTCTTAGATTTCCTGGACTTTGAGATCCTAGAGAAATTAGCAAAATTCTCTCATTCTCTCCCTTCCTGTTTTTTTCCTACTTCTTTCTTTCTTTCTTTCTTGGCTAGGCAATGGGGTTAAGTGACTTGCCCAGGGTCACACAGATAACTAAGTGTCCGAGGCTAAATTTGAACTCAGGCCCTTCTGAATTCAGGGCCAGTGCTCTATCCACTGCACCACCTAGCTGCCCCCCTCTCTCTCTATCTTTCTCTCTCTGTCTCTGTCTTTCATCTCCCTCTCCTCCCCCCACCCCAAAAAACAAGACAGAATACTTGAGATAAGCCAGTTACTGCAACTGCACAATGCCTCTGATTCTCTTCTACCAGATAAGGAAGAAAGGAACAAGAATGAGAAGATATTTCTAAAGGTCTACTTTATTAAACAGTACATAAACTTTAGGCAACAACCCTAACACTGAGAAACCTCCAATCTTTACTCATATCTTATGCTGAATTTTGTAAGCTCATTGAAGCTTATCATGATTTGGCATCTTTTCTCCATAAGTTTGATAAAATGTAATTTAAAAACAGGAAATAAAAAAGTACACATACATATGTTTGGATCACATCTCATTTAAATATATTAAATAGCGCCTGTTTTCCATTAGCTTCAATAGATCATGTCTACAAACTGTGTGTGTGTGTATACACGGAGTGGTAGAAATGTGCCACAGAAGATCCTGGATTTTCTTTGGGGGTATTTTGAACATTTAAAATTTCATGCGCATTTTATCACACACTATAATTGTAAAGCAGAATCAGGACATTAACTTAAAGTTAGAGCAAAAATTGAGATTCTGCTGAACTCTGAACTGATCTGAAGCCAAATAATCTTTTTATTTCTTTATACTTAACTACTAAAGCCAAACAAAAAAAAATCTTTAAAAGTTTCCATTTATTTAGGAGGATTTAAAAAAATAGCTGGCTTTTTGGTAATATTTTAAAGTTTGCAGAGTGTTCTACATATATTTTCTAATAGGTTTCTTACAACAACTCTATGGGGTAAGTGCTATTATTATCCCCATTTTTTTAAAATAATTTTTTAATTTTTTTCCCATATGCTTTTGAGTTGAAAAATTTTTCTTCCTTTTCCTCCCCCCACCCTCTCCAAGATGGCACACAATCTGATATAGGCTTTACATTTACATACCCATTAAACATATTTTCACATTAGTGAAGGTGTAAGTAAAAATTAAAACCAATAGGAGGAACCATCAGAAAGATGAAACAAAACTCAACAGAAGGTAAAAATAAGTGATAGCAATTCGACTTCCATTGTTCTTTCTTTGGATGTGGACAGCATTTTCCATCCCGAGGGCTCTGGAGATGTCCCAGATCCTCATAATGCTGAGAAGGGTTCAGTTTAACATTCTTAGTCACTGCATAACGTGGCTGTTATTGTGTACAAAGTCCTCTTGGTTCTGTTCAATTCACTCAGCATCAGACCATATAAGTCTTTCCAGGTTTTTCTGAAGTCAGCTCGTTCATCATTTCTTATAGCACAATAGTATTCCATTACATTCATATACCACAACTTGCTCAGCCATTCCCCAATTGATGGGCATCCTCTCAATTTCCAATTCTTTGCTACCACAGAAAGAGCTGCTATGAATATTTTTGTACATGTGGGTCCTTTTCCCATTTGTTTGATCTCTTTGGGATACAGCCCTAGAAGTGCTATTGCTGGATCCAAGGGTATGCACATTTTTATTATCCCCATTTTACAGATGAGGAAACTATGGCTGAGAGAGGTTAAATGATTTGACCATGGTCATAAAGCTAGGAAGTATCTGAGATGGGATTTGAATTCAGGTCTTCTCGACCCTAAGACTGGCATTCCATCTACCATATCACCTAGCCTCCAAAAAAAAATGTTCTAAATGTCTATAAATAATAGACACACTGAGCAATACAATCATGCATACCTGATAGGAACAACATGAGTGGTAAGCATATGACCCTTATATTTGGGGTATTTAACCCAGAACAGTCTCGGGGTAAAATTAATATTATAGGGAAAGGAGATGACAGAGACAAGATGGCAGGCGAGTGGGCTGATGGGAAGGAAGGTTGCCTTGGGGGAAGATGAGATGAACACGGGTTTGGAGAAGAGTAGATATGGAGTCCTTGTGCAAGAATATGGAAGGGTGGGAAACTAAATTTCTCTAGTCTTTGTTGGGTTTAGCTTCTTATACTCCTGTCTCTGTTTTGACTTCATTCAGTCCATTCTGTGGGTCCCTAGCTGCTTCTTTCTCTTTTCTGCCTCTGATTTATGCTCACTCTCTCCTCTCATGACCCATTCCAGAGGATACGGGGGAACAGCAGACACCTATCTGGAAACGAAAAGAGTACTTTACTACTGGGAGAAGATTTTTTCACCTAGGTTATTTGCTGGGGTGGCCTGCTAGAGGACCTGATTATTGTAGATACTGTCACAGGGCAGAGGATCAGCAGGATTAAGAATTGAACTAATTTCAATTAGTTGGGGGAGGAGAGGAGGAAAAGTAGGGAGGGATAAGAAGCGGCAACAAGGGATAGAGGATTTTGAAGTTCACACGAAAAAGAAAAATAGGTTTGAGTGGGTAAATTGCAATGAGTTAAAGAGATACGGAGTAGTCAGACAAAACTAAATCGACTGCTCCTTAGTTGTTATACTGTTGAGAGCCTTAGAAGGCTCTTGCTGTCGTATCCCTCTCTTGTGGTATTTTTAAGGACTTGTTCTAACTGTATCTAATACTTGGGTTGGGGCAGCTAGGTGGTGCAGGGGATACAGCACTGGGCCTGGAGTCAGAAGACTTATCTTCCTGAGTTCAAATCTGGTCTCAGATACTTCCCTGTGTGACCCTGAGCAAGTCACAGTCACTTACCCTTGTTTGCCTCAGTTTCTCATCTATTAAATGAGCTGGAGAAGGAAACAGCAAACCACTCCAATATCTTTGCCATGGAAATGCCTAATGGGGTCACGAACACTCAGACACAACTAAAATAATTAAATAACAACAATAAAGCAAAGAGCATTGTCACTGGGATCACATCTTGACTTTGACCATTTACTTCCTGTAAGACTTTAGGCAAGTCACTTAACTTCCCTGGGCCTGAGTTTCCTCATCTGTAATGAGGGAGGGTGGCACAGAGTTAGACCAGATGACCTTCAACCACTAAAATCTATGCTCCTAATCTATTCTTTATTCTTTGAAATATGGGTCAGGTAACAAGCTATGGAAAAGGCATGTTCCTGAACAGCATTTTAAAATGAACAGTTAATAGCTAGTTAAATTGGGGTGGAGGGGGAAGAGTTGCATGTTACTTTGCTTTTTTTTTTTTCAGAAATTGAGCAGAGATAAAAGAGAGAGACACTGTGAACACAGGCACATAGCATAGAATTCAGTGAATGACAAGTCTGCCAACCACAACAGGGAATTCTAATGCAAATTAAGAAAGGCCTATTAAGAAGATCATCCCAAAGAATCAAAGCAATTACATGAAAAGAAAAAAGGTTTCCCATGTTCAAAAATTAATATT